TTGGGTCTGCTGAGAAGGGGATCTGACCACACCCCTAAGAACCCAGAAAAGCCTGGAGATGTGGTACCTGGGAAGTTGAACCTGCTGTCCCGCTGGCCAGGTGAGGGGTTGGGGGGCGTGGTGGCACTGGATGGGTTGGATGATGTCGGGAAGGGCGCTGGCGAGGAGGGTGTGGAGGAGGTGGTGGAGGAAGGCTTGCTGCTGGAGTCCAGGTGATTCATGGCCGGCGGGTGCTCCTGCAGGACCAGAGACGTTGGGAGTGGCAGGGCTGTCGCTGCCGCACCTGCCTCCCCCCAGCCACACCCTCTCTGTGGTCAGCCCAGGGAATCCTCAGGGTCTGACGTTTTATGCATCTAATTGAGAAAGGGCAGCACACAGAGGCCCTCGCCTCAGGGCCCACTCCACAGGGGGCTCCTGCTCATCTTTGTTTTCAGCCCAAGCACACTCTCTTCCCAGAAGCCTTTCCTGCACCCTGGCTGGGACCATGCTCCTCCTCTCCATCCTGGCACAGTGCCCAGCAGTTTCTCATCCAGGCACTGTGTCTACCGCGGACATCCATGGGCGCCTTCCTGACCAAAGTCTCCCCCACTGCCTTGTGTGTTCCAGGAGGCCAGGGCGCTCGTCACACACCCAGTGCCTGGCTCTGAGCCGGGCACACAGTGGGGTTTTATAATGAATTAAGTTCAGGCTCTGATAAACGTTATAACCTGTCTGCTAGCACCAGGCACTCTGCTAGAAGCAGGGAGGCCAATGATGAGTGAGAAGCGTACAGTCCTTTTCTTTGGAAACCTGGCTGAACCGAAGGCACTGGCAAGTCTTAGAGTCAAACGACAAAACCCTGAAAGAGGTGATGGCTTGGGCTGGTGCGGTCTGCCATTTCGGAGGGGTGAGAATTCTGGAGCTGGAAAGAACTTTCTAGAAGATGACCACAGGAGTTGGTTTGTCAGGGCAGGCCTGGTTCACTCATGTTGTCCCAACTTAAATGGTAATGTCATCCCTTCCACACTCAAAGCAAGCATGGTTCCCCCTGCTAATGGACTGCATCCACTGGTGCCTGCCATGGGAAACACAGGTTTGGTGGCCAGTGAGACTCCTTTAGGAGGCCCTCAGACACAACACAGAGGACGCTGAGCCAGGAAGGAGGATGCTTTGTTCTCTGTCTTGTTCTGCCTGAGAGAAGGCCTCAGCCTGAGCTGCTATGTCTTTAACACCTCTACGACACCGGCTCATCACCCATTCAACAGAGTGAGCTTCAAGCTCCAAGCCTTAAGCAAGTATGATATCAAGATGAAGCTTAATAACTTTTTGGTTTTAACTGTGCTTGCTTTAATGATTAGCTTCTATCTGGAGTGATCATGGTTTTTCCAATTATGATAGTGATGATTACATAAAATGAGTCTTATAAGTAAATATTAGCCCTGGTGGTACCTGGTTAAGACAGAAACCATAAAGATGGTCTGCAGCTTGATGAAGTTTGGGCGGTACTGATTCTGGTGTCAACTCACACCAGATGCCACCATGGCCCCACTGCAGAGCTCAGGGGAGCCAGGCCCAAGGAAGCCAAGGGATTTGCCCAGGGTCATGGGAGATGGGCGTGGCAGGAGCCTGGCTCTGGGATGCCTTCTGGCCATGGCTCCCCAGCCACAGCACACAGGAGACCCCTGAGAATAGCATCAGTATCTCACAGCTCCGAGTAAAAGCCTGTGAGAGCAGGTGCCAGAGAGCCCTGGGGCAGGGAGGGCTGCTGCACCAGAAATGGGAAAAGGCAGGGTAAAGGGAGAAAGTGGGGGACAGGGACAGAGGCTGAAGCTCCAGCTTCTCTCTGTGGCCAAGAAGAAAGAGCACCGGGCTTGGAGACAGACAGGCTGGAATTCTCAGGCAGCTTCCAGCACCGCTTAGCTGGGTGACTGCAGGCAACTTCCTCCACCTCTCTGAGCTTCTATTTCTTCAACCACAAAATGAAAACATCAACACCTCTGCCAGGGGGTTACTGCACAGATCAGTAGCATCGCAAAGGTGGGAGTGTGTGGTACACAGCAGGTGACTCATACATGCTTGTTCCACATTCTTTTGTAGACCAGCTAGCTAGGACCACCCAGAAGTCTGAGTCCCAGCAAGGCCAGAGGACCAACAGAGAGAGGGCTCCAGGGGGATTCTACGTTAGGATCTGACCTCTCAGCACCATGTGTGGCCTCTAGTGAGAGCTCAGTAACGGTTAGCTCGTGTCATCATAGTGACATTAAATGGGATCCTGGAGGGCCACTGCTCTCAGAGATGACAGGCCTTTGCACCACCACCATATGGGCTTAGAAGCTGAGCAGGTGCACACAGGAGGGGCTCATGGGGGAGGTGGGACAGAGTGAGAGTCTTGAGCTGTGAGGAGGGCTGAAGGGGGGTGTCCAGGTGGGTGGAGATGCAGGGGTGAACATGACAGGACAGGGGGTCATGCAGGCCCCACGGGGATGGGGGATGTGCTTGGCGTAGCTGGAGAGGAGAGGTAGGGGCAATGATGGTGTTGTTGGCAATGGGGGTGGGGGGCGCTGTGTTGCTGCTGAGGAGCCGATCCAGTCTGTGACGGGCTGGAAAATAATAACTAGTGGATGGTATGGTACTGCTCCCTACAAGTTCATGAACATTTTCTCTTCACCCTTCAAACACCTGTGAATGAGGCATTAGTAACCCCAACTTATAAAGCAGAAAGTGAGGCTCAGAGAGGTCAAGTGGCTCACTCAAGGGATGGAAGCAGGGGAGGAGCTGGGACTCAGAGCCAGGGCTGGGCAACTGCTGTGGTCTGAATGACTGTGCATCCCCACCGCTCACAGGCTGAAACCCTAGCGCCCAAAGAGGTGGTACTGGGAGCTGGGTAACTGGGTCATCAGGGCAGAGCCCTCAGGAATGGGGACCGGTGCCCTTATGAAAGGGCCTGAGGGAGCTTGCTGGACCCCTCCACCACCGGGGGGATGCGGCATGAGTGGCATGTGTGAGAAGGTGGGCCTTTCCAAGCCATCAAGTCTGCTGGCACCTTGATCTTGAACTTCCCAGCCTCCAGAACCAGGAAAAACAAAGCTCTGTTGCTTTTAAGCCAGCCGGTCTAGGATATTTTGTTATGGTAGCCTGAGCAGAGTAAGAAAGGACCCTATCATCTTTCCCCACTGCCTCCCCATTCCGGGTGGGAAGCCACCACCAGAGGGAAACGAGAGGCAGGAGAGAGGACAGGCACAGGCTGGTGGAGACTGTCAGGCCTAGGGCAGCTGGCCTTCTTGTTTGACTATAAGAGGTGGCTCTGGCCCCTCCAAGAGCAGCCCCTGAAGCTGTACCTTCAGGGTCCCCAGTGTGAATTGGCCATATCACTTGTCTCTCTCTCCTGGCCTGAGCCACTGAAGGCCAGCCATAGCCACAGAGTAGCTGGGTACACGTTCCTCATCAGGGAGGCACACGCTAAGCCCCTGGTCTGGGGCTGCAGGTAAAACACACTTAAAAATACACAGCCAAGGTGGGCACACTGCTCACACCTGTAATCCCAGCACTTTGGGAGGCTGAAGCGGGTGGATCACCTGAGGTCGGGAGTTCGAGACCAACACGACCAACATGGAGAAACCCCATCTCTACTAAAAATACAAAAAAAAATTAGCCAGGCATGGTGGTGCATGCCTGTAATCTCAGCTACTCGGGAGGCTGAGGCAGGAGAATTGCTTGAACCCAGGAGGTGGAGGTTGCAGTGAGCCGAGATCACGCCACTGCACTCCAGCCAGTGCAATGAGTGAAACTCTGTCTAAAAAAAAACCGCAGCCAAACCCACAGCAGCCTGCAGCCAGCCAGGATGGGAGCTGCTGTCAGAAGCCATCAGCACTGGCACCTCCCAGACACAAGGGACACCCGTGCATAGAGGCCCATGACAGGTGTGCCAACCCTTCTGGGGGACACAGGCTTTGTGGACACTGTCTAGCTGCAGAGGACACCGGTCTGCCTCAGCAGAGAAGCCTGACGTAGCTATGGAGGGAAATGCACTCTTGGTATTACTTTTGGGTGCATTCCTGTGAGAGCAGCAGAGCTTTGTTCAGTGGTGGCCACGGCAATCGCTTTAATGAACAACTGGAGGTATACCTGCTGCACTGTGACTAAGAGCCCCAGGTTTTCGGGCTGGGCGGCTGCCGAGGCTCCCACTCTAGGTTTGTCTCTTGCTCTCGGGGAATGCTGTGCTATTTTCTCATCTGTGAAATGGATCAGCATGTGCCCTTCAGAACTACTGTGGGGCTCAAACAAAACAGCAAGGGAAGAAGCTCCCGGTACACACTAAGCACACAGGATGTATTAGCTCAAACGAGAAGGGGCTGGGAATCACGGCTGCACCACAACTTGATAGAAAAGGGAAGCCTCCTGATGGCTCAAGATATGATCCCCAAGGCCACCCTCTGGCTATGAATCTGGGACTGGGGTGTCACGTCCCACTTCCCCACTGAGCCTCTGAGGCAGAGGCACTTTACAGGAAGGAAGGCCAGTGGCAAAGGGGGTCCTCCCCAGTATTACCCAGTGTACCTTCTTTGTCAGTGCTTTGGGGAAGGTTCCAAAGTGGGGTTCGGCTGCCCTGTCCACCTGGTTGTTGATGTTTGAGGCTCCGAAGCCGAGTTACTGTTTGAAGAGAGGGAAAGCCCGTCACCAGGTCAAGCTAAAGAAAGATTCACCGCAAATCCAGAAGGCAGAGGAGAGGAAGGCAGCAAACTCACATGGCAGGAAGGATATTCTACAGGCAGGAGCTTCTTTGGTGCATTTGTTGTGACACTTCAACCTGGTAAAGAAGGGGAGGTTAGGGTGCAGGGTACCACGTGGGGGACTCGGGCACACAGGGGAAGCTCTGTGTAGCATTCACCCAGGACTGTCTCCATTTCCACAAACTTTTCAACAAATGTTAGCTCGAAAGTAGAGAACACTGTGATATTAATAGTAATAGCAGCTGCTACACTGAGCTGCTATGCTGAGCATTTACCACGTTCTGCTGCCATCTACCCATCCTCACGGCAAAGCGGGTCTCATGGTGCCCACTTTGACCTACCCAGGTCACCTATCTATTTGCCTTTTGTAAAGAAAAGGAGACCTTCTACCCATATTGAAAAAGCTCAAGACAAACTTGAACTTGAAAAAAAAAAAAAAAAGAAAGAAAGAAAGAATTGGTGTGGTGGCTCACACTTGTAATCCCAGCACTTTCAGAGGCTGAGGCAGGTGGATCACAAGGTCAGGAGTTCAAGACCAGCCTGACCAACATGGTGAAACTCCACCTCTACTAAAAATACAAAAATTAGCTGAGTATGGTGGCACACTCTTGTAATTCCAGCTACTCAGGAGGCTGAGGCAGCAGAATCGCTTGAACCTGGGAGGCGGAAGTTGCAGTGAGCCAAGATTACGCCACTGCACCTCCAGCCTGGGTGACAGAGCGAGACTCCATTTCAAAAAAAAAAAGATGAATTGGACCGAGAATGTTTGCTTTACCAAAGGGTTCCAGGGACCCAAAAGGGCAGCCCCTCCTGCTACATTTGTGCAATGGACCATGCAGTCTGAGGGTCAGTACCAGGCGGTCCTGCCTGATGCACTGAGTCTTAGCTTTCTCACTAATGGGCTGGGGGTGTCCTGTCCACCTCATACTGCATCACAGGACAGCCTTGGGCTCAAAGGTCATCCTGTGCTCTCCGCAGGAAAGTCATTATTTGAATGGGAGCTGGAGGTCCCTAATGTAAAGCCAAGTGGCAGGAGCCACAGGAGACCCAGACCAGAGAGAAAACTCAGCATCTCCCTAGAACAGGAGAGTTACTGGGAAGGTAACAGGTCCAACTGATATGCATAAGACCCACCACCTGCAGTCCGACTGGAGCCCAGATGCAATCCCACATGCTAGCTCAGCTTCTCAGAGCTATCCCCACGGCTCTGATGGAGATATCCAAAATCAGGCCCAGAAAGGGCAAGTGTCTTGCCCCAGGTCACACAGCAATCCAGGGGCAGAGTGGGCTGGACTGAGTCCCCAACACCACCCTGTATCAGGCGAGGGCAGCTGGACAGCAGAGGACACACTGTGCTCACCCCACACTGTTCCCTATCCTTGCCTTCCTTCCCACCAGAAACCACAAAGCATGAGAAAATAAAGCTGGACTTGTACAGAACCTACCGCTGTTCACCTCTCCTTCTGCAAGCTAACTCCCTGTTTTTAACCATCACCTGTCTCCCACCTCTCGAGGGCTATAAAATGTAAGGCTAAACTTCAGAGCTCCTTACAGGTCCCAGAACAGTCCTCACATTCCTCCGGGCCTTAGTACAAGATGCTCCCATGGCCTGGAATTCTCTCTCCCCCTTGGTTGACCTTGTAAACTTCTATTCGTTCTTCAAAGCCCACCTCAAGTATTCACTTCTCCCAGGAGTAACTTGCTTAATTTCCTTGAAATTAAAGCCTGATCATTCCCTGGTGAGCTGAATAGGACTATGAATAGCGAGTGTAGGGAAATGCGTTTGAATTCTGACTTGCTCCCCGCACCCCCACCTGTCTGCCCATCACCTGCAATGCTTGCACTTCACTCCAAATATCATGCTCTTCTGGCACATGTGGCAGACCTGTGACAGCCAGGACTTGGTGGAGAACCTGCAGGGGCAGACACGGGCACATGCTTGCACCAGCTGGGAGGCCAAGGCCTACCCAAGAAGGGTTCCCATGGGGTTCCAGGGAAACTGGGAATCTTGGCTCCATCCCAGAGCCCCATGTGCCCTCTCCCTCCCAGGGAGGACAGAGACACTCAGGGGCCATGTAGATTTCTCAGACGCAACGTCATCATTGTCAACATACTGAATTTGGTGTGGTCATCTGAGAGTACCCATTTGACAGCAGCAATCAAGAGTCCAAGTGTGCATACCCTTTGACCCAACAGTTCTTGGGAATTCTTAGGAATTTACTCAACACATAGGCCCACAAGTGTCGAAGGGTATATGGACAAGGTATGCCTGTAGCACGTAAGCGGCGTAAAGGCTGGAAATGACCTACGCGTCCATTGAGAGGGGCTGATTAAGTATGGCCTTTCCATCCAATGAACTCTATGCAGCAGGAAACTAAAACAAGGAAGCTGTTTCTGTGCAAATATGGAATGACCTCCAAGTCATATTGTCCAGTTAAAAAAGTAAGGTACAATAGGATCTGATCCCATTCATAGGCAGTTCAAGTATGGGAAAAAACTAAGCTACGACGCTAGAGGTGAATAGTAACTGCTGGGTGGTAGCAGCACTGACAAGGAAGAACTCAAGGTAACTTCTTCGAGTGCTGGAATGTTCTCCACCTTCATCTGGATGGTGTACACAGGTGTGTGTGTGTGTGTGTGCACAAATACATACACACACTTGTGCATTTTGCTCTATATAAACTGTGTCTCCATTTTTGAAAAAGCAAAGTATAGGATTGTATATAACATATGCAGTAGTTGAGTACAAAATAAAGGAGAACGCCTATAATCCCAGCACTTTGGGAGGCCGAGGCGGGTGGATCATGAGGTCAAGAGACTGAGACCATCCTGGCCAACATGGTGAAACCCCGTCTCTACTAAAAATACAAAAATTAGCTGGGCATGGTGGCACGCTCTTGTAATTCCAGCTACTCAGGAGGCTGAGGCAGCAGAATTGCTTGAACCTGGGAGGCGGAGGTTGCAGTGAGCCGAGATTGCTCCACTGCACTTCAGCCTGGTGACAGAGTGAGACTCCATCTCAAAAATAAATCAGACAGACAGACAGACAGATAGGAGAAAACATATACACATATTTGTTTGTATAAGATATCTCTAGAAGACTACATAACACACAGCTAAGAGTTCTTTACAGAGGGGATTGAGGAGTTGGGGATAGAATCTATCCACCAAAGATAGATTCAAAGATGGATGGGGGCTGAGTGGGTAGTGTCCTCCAGAAAAAAAGTGCAAGGCTAGTCCAAAGGGTGGGAAGGCCTAAGAGCAGAAAGAGCTCTTATTTTTGGAAAAATAGAATTTTTTTAAACATATTGTATATCACAGTAACAACAGAATGAATGCCAGCAGTATTTCGGAAGCAGTTTGTAACGCACCCACCAGCACAAGCTCATTTCATTCTTATGCCCATGCCAGGGAGTAGGCAGGTCCAGGATTCCTGTGCACAGGCAAGGAAACCAGCTCAGAGAGGTCAGGCGATGTTCCCAAGGTCACACAGTTGGGATGCCAGGGTCTGGATCCCAGCTCTGTGAACTCAGTTACAGAGCTTCTCTAAGAGATTCCACTGGTCCAGCAGAGGCCAAAGAAGGCCTTGAGCACAAGAGAAAGAGAACAGGCTCTGGGGGCAAACAACTGGGTTTGAATTTTGCCTTCAGCCTACTACTGGCTGCAAGATGCCTCGGACACCTCTGCAAATAGGGTCAACCCTAAGCGTCACAGGATTTGGGGAAGATCACAGATACACCATGTAAATGGAATGTAGCAGAGATCCATAAAGTTACTTTCTCCACCCAACAAAGATGGGAGCTTCTGGTGGCCAGGGACGCCCACCTGCATGGAGTGCCTTTTAAGGAGTCGCGATCCGGCCTCCCTGAGATGCAACCAGGTCTGTGTAGGCTCACACATGCACATGTGCTGTCTCCCTCACTGGGTTTTAATTACTTCTCACGTCAACACTGGGGGTGAGGGGATCGAGAAGCTTAGGGGTGGGGCCCGGGAATCTGGATTTTCAACAAGCTCCACAGGGGATCTGCTGTGTGAGTTTCAGGACACACGTGACATCGCACTGGATGCAGGGGAAGCTCCTGTGACTCCTTCCCTTGGCCCTGACCCTATTTCTCCTGGGACCCGTGTCCTGAGAAAGGGGGAAAGTGCTTTCCCTAGCAGAGTGAGGAAGAGACCCGGGGAGGTGCAGGTGAGGGAGCTGCAAGTCCGTGTGTCCACCCTGGCAAGGCGAGGGCTCAGGTGAGTGCAGGGCCACGCTCCGCAGAGACGACGGACAGGCATCAGAGGCAAAGAGCTCACTGAGATACAGTGACCAGAACTCCCAGCCCAGCTCTGTGCCCAACTTCCCCCCTGCCCCCCACCAGGCCTGCCGTGCCCACCTGTGCATCACTGAGAGCCCGATATCCCTCCGTACCATCTGTGGGGATCCATGCGGGAGATTTGTGGGCAGAGAGGCCCGAAGGGCAGGTTGAGGAACTCCACAGGCAACCGCTTGTGCCTGTGACCTCCTAGTTCAGAAATCACAGGCTGCAAGGGGTGGGCGTGGTGGCTTATCACGTAAGCATCTTTCCCTGTGACCTATGTCCACCAACACAGGAGCAGGCCAGGCTAGACCAGTGGCGTGGCGTGGTTCCCCTCGCCTCGATTGCTCCTGGCCTCTGTGGACAGGTCAGTCTGCTGCCCCTGTGATGTTTCCAGCTGAGGAGCAAGGCAGGCTGGAGAGGCAGAAAGCAAAGCCGGGGTGAGGCCAGAAGATTCTACACAGCCCAACCTCTCACCACCTTTCCCCGACACACCACAGGCCACCGGGTGCAGGGGCTCAATTCTGGGTACTTCTTGGTAAAAGGCTGAAGCTGTTGACCTCAGGTGGAGGGCTGAGGCTAGTCAGCTGGTCCAGTGCCTTTCCAGGCAGAAGTCCCTGGAAGATATTCCTCTGGGAGAGGCCACTGCCAGGTCTGGGCAGACAGAGTGTGGTGGGGTTTTGGGGATGAGGAGGGTGCTGAGAGGAGGGGTGCTCATCCCCAAGACCCCACCCACACTCTATCTGCCCACCTTTATCACATTCTCCCTTGGGCCAGCCCCACCCAGGCAGGAGCCTGAGCCTCTGGGGATGTCTCGGACACCCTCCTTCTCTGCTGAGAGAAAGGGCACCTGCTTTGAGGTGCCACCCTGCTGGCCTTCCTGGAGGGTGCTCCCTCTTCCAACCTGGGCCTCCCCATCAGAACAGGCAACCCTAGTGTGGCAGACAAGCAGCTGGAAGCACTCTCCCCACCCACTGCAGCCCCCACGTTCAACTCACGCCCCCATACTCCGCGCCATGGGCTCCCAGAGCCAGTTCATGGGTGGGCTTCAGGGGTCCAGGAACCCTTAGTAGAATGCTGTAGACTTTTCTCTGGAAGGAAGGTTTAGGTGACCTGGAACCCAGAAAGGTCAGGCACACAGTGCTCGCATGTGGTCATCTCATGTCCTCTGAGACAGAAGTTTCCCCCGAGGGTGACCACTGCCCCCCTCAATCCCTAGTGCCAGTCTAACACACAGCTGGACTCATGAAATGCTGGTTCACTTAAGGCCAAGTATCACATAGCCAACCTCCATGAAAGGGTGTGCTGGATGGACTGAGTCCTCCTACATCAAGGACAGCTGGATAGGAGCAATCTTTCTTACCTGCAGCTCTCCCTGGCACCTCTGACATGAGGTTGACTTGTCCCAACTTCCTCCTGGGGCCCACCCCACCCAGCAGCAGCCAAGGCCACCAAAACACATGGGGATGACCGGAGCAGTGGTTCACACCTGCAATCCCAGCACTTTGGGAGGCCAAGGCAGGTGGATCACCTGAGATCAGGAGTTTGAGATCAGCCTGGCAAACATGGTGAAACCCAGACTACTAAAACTACAAAAATTAGCCAGCTGTGGCAGCTACTTTTAATTCCAGCTACTAGGGAGGCTGAGGCAGGAGAATCACTTGAACCTGGGAGGCAGAGGCTGCAGTGAGCTCAGATCGTGCCACTGCACGTCAGCCTGGGTGACAGAATGAGATTCCATCTCAAAAGAAAAAAACAAAACAAAAAAACACATGGAGCTCAAGGGGTTAGCTGTCAGCCTATAGAAAGATGGAACTTCAACCAGCTAGCCTGAAAAGCCACCTACGATCTTCTGTGGGCATGGGCAGTAAGGTGGTGTATGTGCCAGGCACTACCTCTGTCTGACCTGTGTGGAGACACTGGCCCCGAAGGCCTAACAATCTCACTGCTCCAGTCCCCACATTGCCATGGCAAGTAGAGGATGATGGGGCTGGGGCTTCCTAGAGATGGGGGTGTTGAATGTTCCTCCAAGGTTCTGTGAAGGGCCCTGGGAGTTTCTGCCTGAGCTCTGGGGGAGGGAAGTGTAGCTCCTCTCCTTGCCCCCTGGTCCCTCCCTGGGGTTCCTGCAGCCAGCTCCACATTGGCATGGTCCCTGCCTGCTTGACCCCTCCTCATCCCCAAGACCAGGCCCACAGCTACATGACTCTCCTTAGCCAGCTTGGGATAGTACAAAAATAAACTCCCATTTTGCTCAGGCAAAAACCAGACATCTCTGCATTTCCAGACAATTAAAAGCAGACTCCAGAGGCACAGCTGTCTCCCTCCACTCTGACTCATGAGTGAAGCCCCACAGCTCAGCCACATGCAGGAACATGATCCCAGCCTGGAGGTTGGGGTGGGAAAGGGGGTCAAGGATTGCCCAGGTGTCCTCCCCTCCCAAAGAGGCATCTGCGCCTCTCATCTCTCGGGGCCTCATTTGGAGCTGCACTGCATTTCTGCCTCCAGGAAGGTCCCTCTCCTGAAGAGTGGGGTCCCAAGACATCAGGTGGGGTTCTGGGGACAGCTAAAGTCCAGTGAATCCAGGCAGATGGCATCACCTTCCCGGGGTGCTGCTTTATCATGACAGCCCAGCAGGCCAGAGTCCTTGCTGGAGAGTCCCCATGGGGAAAGGCAAGGTGGACAGGGCGCTTCATGGGGCTGCCCGTGGGCAGAGATGCGCTCAAGTTCTCTGCTTCTTGGAGAGCAGCTGCCAGCTGGGCTAAAGCCAGCTGGTCACTTTAAGGCCACCTGTCTTAGGGCTATTTCCTGAGGCGGTCACCAGCACCTGTGCTTCTGGACTATGGAGAGGCTGAACGGGCTAAGAAGGGGGTCAAAGAGGTCCACCCCCGATGAGGACAGCAATGCACACACGACTCCCGGGTGGCAGAGGGGATGGAAATGAATCTCTCTTACCAAACCTGGAGGAGACAAAAAGCAGAGAGGGAGATTACGTCACCATGCTAGCTCGGCGCGTTCCTAGAACATTACATTTGGGCAGGAGCAGGCAAGAGGCTGGGACGCAGGACTCTGAGGCCTGGCTTGGGGCCAGCCTGGCTGAATGACTGTGGGAACCCCTGCAATCACTGTGGGGACATTTCCTCAATGGAAAGGGCTATCCCCAGGCCTCCATAGGGGACATCAAAACTCAGTGCTGTGCACTTTAATACATCAGCTTACGCAAGCCTTGCCAGCAACCAAGCATGGGAATTAGAGCTCAGCCCATTTCATAGCCAAGGAAACTGAGCCGCAGGAGGCTCACTATGTCATGAAGTGCTGGTTACTTAAGGCCAAGTACCAAATAACCAACCTCCATGGCAGGGTGTGCTGGAGGCAGGCTGACAGTGGGAGAGCCTGGCCCAGAGCCAGGCAACAAAAAGGGTCAGTCAGCTGGAGAGATCGGGCCCAGAGGCTCATGCCTATAATCCCAGCACTTTTCAACGTAAGTGGATCACCTAGATCAGGAGTTCGAGACTAGCCTGGCCAACGTGATGAAACCCTATCTCTATTAAAAATACAAAAATTAGCCAGGTGTGGTGGTGCATGCATGCCTGTAATCCCAGCTACTTGGGAGGCTGAGGCAGGAGAATGGCTCAAACCCGGGAGGCAGAGGTTGCAGTGAGCCAAGATTGCGCCACTGCACTCCAGCCTGGGCAGCAGAGCGAGATGTCTTCTCAGAAAGAAAAAAAAAAGAACTATCAGCTGGCGAGGGTGTGGCTGGACAGGAGGGCAGAGATAACAGCCATGCAGGGCAGAGGTAGCCCCTGAAAGGAGAGTCAGGCAGGGGCACACCCTGAGCCTCCCCCACGTACCTTGCGTACCCAAGGAGCCTCCCCCAGGGGCTGCCGCTGCCCCAGAGAACACATGGAGCTGGCAGAAGCAGAGCACTCAGTCTGTCCTCAGAAGTCACCAGAACAACAAGGTGGCCTGAGTGTCACGTCAGTGCTGGTTCTGGTGGCTCTTCAGGGACTGGACTCAGAATCCCAGAGTCTGAGATTCAGTCACTGGCTGGAGTTTGAGGCTAGTTGTGTCACCTGCCTGAGGTTCTGTGCCTGCCACTTTCCAGCATAGGAATGAGACCAGAGCTTTCCTAATGCTCTTCTTGGGAGAAGACAGAAACAGAGGGACTGGGCTGAGCCCACTGTGAGGCCTCCTCTGACTGACCCATGTTCGTGTGGCCATGATCACTGCATTCTGTAGCCCCTTCTGGGTGGGACCCAGGCTCCAGCAGGTCAGCCTGGATGGGAGCAGCAGGGTGGGTGACACTCAGATCTCTCCTCCTTGGGCAGAGCACTCAAAACCATCGGTGCTGTCCAGGCTCCATCCCATAGAGGACCTGAACAGCAGGCACTGGCAGAGGGGATCAGGCCCGTTCCAAAGACGACTGCAAGGCCCAAGACACACCAGGGCCCAAGGAAACCCCCAGAAAAGGGGTGCCCTTATCATTTCTTGGCCTTTTGGCTAAGATCAAGTGTAGAAAAGTGGTGCCCCCATGCTGAGGAGAGAAACTAGGTGTCCCACAATCCTCAGGGGTACACGAAGGTAAGAGGCAACCAAGGAAAACACTCCCTTTCTTTCTGTGCTGGCCACAAGAACATACTGACAAGGCAATCTTTGTAATAAAAAGGACAACGATCTAATGTCCACCAAGAAGGGACAAGACAGATAAACTATACAATGGAATCCTATGAACAAGTCAAAAAAAAGTGGGGTTTGAATAATTACAGACATACACAAAACTGCTAGTCTGATGGCTCCTGAAAGGGGAACCACGTGACTGAATAAAAATGGGGGGGTAACTGCCAATCAAAATCTGTTCCTCTTTCTGAAACTATTGAGGTAAATAATTAACAATAAAAAATTCCTTTTATACAGGTAAAAAAAAAAAAAAAAAAAAAAAAAAAAAAAAAGGGGGGGAAGTTTTTTCACCGCGTGCCCCGAGGAGAAAAAGAGCTGCTGAGCTGTGGACTGTGTGTCTGTCTCACTTGTGCAAAACACATAGATGGAAAATGTTTTAAGTCAAAAAATAAATGAAAGAGTAAAATATTTCAAGACGTACTGACGTGATGCTCTCAGAGATACCCAGGGAAGCTGAAAAAATAAGTCGCGGGACAGAGTAGATGGTGCGGTAGCTGACAGTCACTAGTGGTTTCAGCCAAATATTCCAGCTCTCCCCTTCCTGGGTGTGTGGGCAAACAGCACTGCTTCACTCCCCTGTTCAGGCTGCACCATGAATGGTGAGTGTAGAGTACTCCACTGCCAGGGTGTGACACCTGGAACTCACTTTCCCTCACCCTCGTGGCCAGCGGTGCTCAGGCAATGTCGGTGCTATCATTCCAGGCCCAGAAGGAGGCTTACCCATGATGGACAAGGTGGCATGAGCAAGAAACAAATCTCTGATCTTTTAAGACCTGGTGATTGGGCGGGTGCGACGGCCCCCGCCTGTAATCCCAGCACTTCGGGAGGCCAAGGCGGGCGGATCACGAGGTCAGGAGATTGAGACCATCCTGGCTAATACGGTGAAACCCTATCTCTACTAAAAATACAAAAAGTTAGCCAGGCATGGTGGCATGTGCCTGCAATCCCAGCTACTAGGGAGGCTGAGGCAGGAGAATCACTTGAACCCAAGAGGCAGAGGTTGCAATGAGCCCAGATCTCGTCACTGCACGCCAGTCTGGGTGACAGAGTAAGATGCTGTCTCAAAAAAAAAAAAAAAAAAAAAAAAAGACATGGTGATTTGGGGATGCTTGGTATTTCCGTGTAACCAGCCTACCCTGACCCATACATGGCATCACGTCATGCGCACGTGTACATAGAGAACCGAATCTAGGAGAATGCAGCCCACACTGCTGAAGTAGTCTGAGGAATACACTAAAAGATGGGGGCACCTTTTGCTTTTGACTTTATACACTTCTATAGGGGTTGATTTTATTTGTCCTTCTATGTATCTTTATAATGAGAAAACCACAGAGGGCACTTTTGGTGGCTGCCAGGGGAGCACTCACCTCATCGAGGAGACCTCGTCAATGCGGTTCCCCAGCTGAGACTCGTGGGACTTGCTCCGGGTGAGTGTTGGGAAACTCGGCAGCAGCTGGAAGACCTTGCGGCTGGGTGGCGGGGGCGTCCGTGGTGGCTTCAGCTTGGTGTGCCATCGCAGCTGGGGTGTGGTGGGCGAGGTGATGAAGCTGTGCAGGGCCCAGGGGGTCAGCTGGCCGCTGGTGTGCAGGGGGATACAGGTGTCCGAGAGGCCCTCACTGAAGCTGGTGGTGGGGGAGTCCGAGGCGGGAAGAGCTGACACGGAGATGGAGCGTGGGCCCTGGGCGCTGTTGCCTGGTCTGCCCAGCTGAGAGCTCCCCGGGGGTCAGGGCAGGCTGGCTGGTGAGAGGTTGTCCGTGGAAGGCCCTGAGCCACTTTCCCGCTGAGCATCCAACAAACTCCAACCGGAGCCCTCCTTGTGTTCCCCTCCTGTGGACCAAGACGTGGAGTCACAGATGGTCTGGGCTGGAAGGCATTCACAGGGAGGATGGCTAGGGGCCAGAGAGGTTCAACCCCTGGTGTGGGGTTATACTGTTTATTAAGAAAAGGTTTCAACTCCAACCTTTACCTGGTTTATGCAGGCCTCTCATGCACACAGGTTATTTGGCGTGGTGCAGATACTACCATAGGTTGAGCATCCCTAATCTGAAAATCCCAAATCCAAAACACTAAAACTTGAGAATTTCTGAGCACCGACATGACGCTCACAGGAAATGGTCATGAGAGCATTTTGGATTTGGGGATTGGGAATGCTGAACAGGTAGGCACACTGCAAAGTTTCCAAAATCTAAACAAATCCCAAATCCAAATCGCTCTGGTCTCAGGCATTTTGAATAAGGGATACTCAAAACCTGTATCTCTGTTTTATAGAGGACGAAGCACAGCCCAGAGAGGAACTGGCTTGGGCAGGGCTCTTATAGGCAGGTCTTGGGGGAGCAATCCAGGAAATCCACACCAAAAGTGGCTGACCTCAGAAAGCGAAGGGGTGGCCGATCTGTAAGAGTTAGGAAAGGGAAGCTGGGTGTGTGAAGGAAGGAAAAACTCCACTTTAACAAAATTCAAACACTAAGACAAGGGGCTGTTCTGAGCATCCAACAGCAAAGTACCCTGGGGCTTGTGAAAAAAAATCCAGGAAGAAAGGGATCAACAGCCACTTCCTTCTGTACCAGCCTTTGAGTGACTGTGGGCTGCCCCCACTGTGACCCGCTCTACCTGAGGCCCGAGGCTTGTGTGGCTCTGTGGGGCTTGAGATCCAGGGCACAGGCTGTGTAGCCATTCAAGCACATGCTGGATGCTGGGTGGAAAGGCCTAAAAAAAAACTATCCTTGTGAAGAGTTGAATGGGATCCAGTGGGAGGTGACTGGATCCTGGGGGCGGTTTTTCATGGCTGTTTCAGCACCATCCTGTTGGTGCTGTTCTCGTGAGAGTGAGTTTAAAAGTGTGTAGCACCTCCCTGTCCCCTCTCGCTCTTGCTCCTGCCCTGTGGGACGCCTCACTTCCCCTTGCTATCCACCATGCCTGGAAGCTTGGCTCAAAGGTTCCGCAGGCTCTATAGGACACATGGCAGCTTCTGGTTCTGGAGAGCCTGCAGAACCATTAAGCCAAGTAAACTTCTTTTTAAAATAAATTACCCAGTCCTGCAGATCACCAGGTCAGGAGTTCGAGATCAGCCTGGCCAACATGGCAAAACCCCATCTCTACCAAAACTGCAAAAATTAGCCAGGTGTGGTGGTGCTCACCATTAGTTCCAGCTACCTAGGAGGCTGAGCCATGAGAATTGCTTGAACCCAGGATGTGGAGGTTGCAGTGAGCCGCAATCATGCCTGGGTGACAGAGTACGTTTCCATCTCATAAATAAATAAATAAATAAGCAAGCCAGCCTCAGGTATTTCTTTACAACCTTCGAGAAGGGACTGATGCACCAGTGCTGGGCAAGCCTTGCCTCCCTCCACCCTCCTGCAATGCCTGCTTTTCTCCCCAGTGTGCAGTGGAGGCCACTGAGACTCAGGGAGGCCACAGACACTGCCCAAGGCCAGATAGCTAAGAAAGCGGTGTGACAGGAATTGAAAACATCAATCTCAGCACCACGCTCCCCACCTCTTCTTCCCCCACCCTGACGATGCTACTGATTCTCAATAGCCTACAGCATAACAGCTGTGGGACGTAACAAGCTCCCTGTCATCAGAGGTGGTCAAGCCACTCATCAAGAATGGTGGGGTGGTGGGGAAGAATTAGCCTTCTTGATTTGTAAATTTCTTTGTACACCCCATCCCCTCTTCAAACACCCTTCCTTCCACCTGACTGGAGGGACTTTCTATTCAGGGTCCAATGGACAGGAGCTGCTTAGTCCCTGTGCTCCCAGACTGCTTGCTCCTTATGCACTGCAGCCACGACTGACACTGTAGCTCATAGATTGGCCTGTCAGGGGCACTGAACAGGTTTCTTGTTGAGCAGATGAAGGAATGAATTTCATGAATCTATGATATGAGCAAGCCTGCCACCAAAGGAAATAAGCCCCAAATTTGCAAGTTGCCTGTTTAATCACCACTGCTCTGGGCCCACTCGAGGATGGCCAATGGGTCTTGATGTGTGCACCGACAGCGGCTGATTGATTGCCAGTGGCTGCTTGAGAATGACCCTAGAGTTGCTCAACAGAAGCATCTGCAGCTTAGTGATATCTGCAGGAATACTCACTCATCCCCTATTCACCAGCACAGACAACCATCCTTGACTCACTCTTTTTTTTTTTTTTTTTTTTTTTTTTTTTTTTTTTTTTTTTTTTTTTTGAGACAGGGTTGGGCTCTGTTACCAAGGCTGGAGTGCAGTGGTATGATCTTGGTTCAACTGCAACCCTTATCTCCCAGGATTAAGCCATCCTCCCACCTCAGCTTCCTGAGTAGCTGGGACTATAGGCACACACAACCACGCTTGACTAATTTTTGTATTTTTTGTAGAGACGGGGTTTTGCTATGTTGCCGAGGCTGGTCTTAAACTCCTGAGCTCAAGCAATCAGTCTGCCTTGGCATCCCAAATGCTGGGATTACAGGCCTGAGCTACCACGCCCAGCTGTTCACTCACCTTTCTTTAGATCAGAGATTACAAGGGAAATGACTTCAACATGTTCTGTCCCCTCACAGGCCTTATACTGAAAAGAACACCTAATAGACGCCAGGCTCTGGTCTAAGGACTTCACTTTAACTAATTTCCTCTTCACAATGACCCTGAGAGAAGTGTTGTTATCGCTGCCATTTTACAGATGAGGAAACCGAAGTACAGTGAGGTGAAGTAACTTGCCGACGTCTCATAGGTTCTAAGTGGCTAAGCACAGTGCTGGGCCCAGGCAGTCTGATTCCATAGCCCATCCTTACTGTGACCAGACTGCCCTCACTAAGCCCCATGGGGCACGGTGAAGATGCTGTGATGCGGGATCTGACAGGATTGCTGGTACCCAGCGGATCCCAACAGGTGCCTGAAGTGTGGCCAGCACCGGGCAGACGAAAGGTCTGTGTCCTGGACTGTGATGGGGCCAGGACTCTGCTGGGGATGCAGAGGCACCACAAGCTGAGACTAAATGAGAGAGAAGAAACCTAGAAAATGCCTCTTTTCAGGGGCCTCCTCTAGGGAGGAAAAAGCGCCCTCTGAACAAGAAACGAGTTCAAAGCCCACCTCTGCTCCAGGCAAGGTGTGGGGCCCCGGATGACTCATCCAATGCCTCCAGTGGTCAGAGAGGCCTCAGCTACAAAGTGAGCTTAACACCACCTCTTACAAGGGTGCAGCCACAATATGTGTGACACACGCCTGGCACATAGTAGGTGTATAAATTAGTGATCTCCCTCTTTTGGCATCTATGACAGGTGGACAGCAGCCTTCATCACCCAGATGGGTCACTACCACTTAACAGCTGACTCTTCCACAGTTCTTTAAAATCCAGGCATAAGGAGGAAGGAAAGAAGGGCTGACAAATTGCCCCAAAGATCTCAGCTTGGGTGGCAAGCATGGGAACAAACCAATCGCCATTACAGCCTGAGGATCAAATCCTGGCTCAGTCATCAACCGCTGTGTGCCCTTTCCCAAGCCCCTTCCCCTCTCTGGGCTCAGTCTCCTCCTGTAATATGTGGGAATAAGAACGCTGGCCACACCTCTGCCATGTTTAATTTCAGCATCTGCTGGGAGACCTGGTATGGTAAGATTTTCTGAATTGAGTGCAACTTTCTACACTGCGCTGTGTGTGGAGGACTTGATACAATGAGGCCAGAGAGGAAATTAAGCCCAATCCCCTCTCTGGGAAGAAAAAAACCGGGCAGAATATAAACCTCAGTGCCTTCCTTAAGCCTCAGGGAGCCGGAGGTAAGACACGAGCCTCAGATAATTAAAAAGCAGACCTGATTCCATTCATGAGGCTGATTTTAATGCCTTATCTGTGTGGTAGTGGGAGCATTAAGTCAGGCATTTGAAGCTGTTTCAGAGGCAAGATTTAGAAAGCCTGTGAATAATTCCCAAGGACCTCGTAGCAAGGCCAGGATTACAGACTTTGTCTGGGACAGCCATGTACACGCTCCCAGCTAAAGAGCCATAGAGTTTCCCTAATTGCCCTTGGCTCAGGCCCACATCAGCGTGTGCCTTCTGAGCACAGAACCCAGCCAGCAATGGGGACAGGAGAAGGCAGGGAGCGGGCTGGGTTTGGGCTGGGGGCTAGAATGTGGGAAGCCGGTGGAAGGTACACAGAGCCCTCCACAGAAAGGAAACCTTGCCAGGCCGGCCTGGCAGACAGGCCTGGGATTTCTAAGCATGGCTGAAGCCCCCTCAGGTTCAGCCTGGCCAGACCCACCAGGATCAGGAGCCCCGAGGACCCTGGGAGAGCTTCTCAGGAGGCTGTTACCATCCAACCCTGGCCTTTCCAGGCTGCCCGAGCAACCCTGGCCCATGCGTGCACCGCTCCATCCCCCACCATGGTGGAGGCCGCAGCCCCCAGGGCACCAGGCCAAGGGAGAGGGCGGCAGGCCCCACGTACCCAGGCCTGTCACTTTCCACAGGCAGGTGAGGGCGTACTGCAAGCGGCCACACTCCTCCGCACTGGCCCCACAGCGCCGCAGTGTCTCCTTCACCCTGGCCTCGTTCATCTCCAGCAGGGCATCCAGCGTGAGCTCTCGGGGGATCTCCTGAGGGGACAGAGTGACAGGCAGAGAGGTGGTGAAGAGTCAGCGGCCCAGGAGCCCCTCAGCCTCAGACCGGCCTCCCGCAGAGTGGCAGGGGCCAGCTGCTGGGGGGGCCGGCCTCTGACCAGAACCACCACGTGCTTGGGGACACAGGCAGAGCTCCCTGGCCCCCACCCTGCAGGCTCCCCGAGACAGCAGCTGAAGCAGACTCAGTGAGGGGTGAGGGGAAGAAGTAAAGACCAGAAAGGTTTGGATGAAGACATGTGGCCCAGCTTGTCTCTTCTGACTCCTCTGCATAGAAAAAACCCGGAAAATCATAACAACCTTTTAGAATGGCAAGTACTTCAGACGAAGAAGGCCCTTTACGATTTTGTTTTATCTGAATCAGACAAGAGAGATTTCAAATCAAACTGGCTTAACAAAGGAAGGGTTAAAAAAAAAAAAAAAAAAAAAAAAAACCTGGCCAAACACTGCAGAGGCACTCACTGCCTCCCCTGATTCTGTCAAAACCTTTCACTAGGCCCACTTGACAGCTGAAGAAAGATGCTCAGAGAAGTTATGTCACCTGCACCAGGTCACTGGGCCACAGGGGGAAGAGAGTAGCAGGCAGAATTTTACGGCGGTCCTGTGACCTTCAGCCCTGGTGTGGCTGCTGCTCATGTTACATTACAGCAGTCTCCCTCTTATCTGCAGTTTCAGTTACCAGCAGCCAACCATGGCTTAGAACTACTACATGGAAAATGCCAGAAACATTCCAGAAACAAAAAATTTAGTTTTAAACTATGCACGATTCTGAGTAATGTGATGAAATCTCGCACCATCCAGCTCCGTCCCACCAGAGACGTGTATCATCCCTTTGTCCATGCTGTCTCCACTCCTGGCCTGTTAGCCACTTGGTAGCCGCCTTGGTTATCAGATCAGCTGCCAGGACCTCTCCCCACGCAGGCACTTTATCATCTCACGTCATCCCACGATGAGGAGTGAGAACAGTAAAGTAAGATAGGTTGAGAGAGAGGAGAGAGACCACATGCCTATAGCTTTCATTCTAGCATATTGTTGTAATTACTCTATTTTATTATTGTTGATTATTAATATCTTACTGTGCCCAACTTATTAACTTTATCAGAGGTATGTACGCATAGGAAAAAACATAGTATATATAGGGTTCAGTACTATCCACAGTTTCAGGTATCCACTGAGGGTCCTGGCACATATCCCCTGCAGATAAGGGGGAACTACTATGTAGAGCAAAAGGGAAATTATCCAAGTAGGCTACATCCAAGCACAAGAGCCCTTTAAAAGCAAAGCGTTCTCTTGAGCTGGTAACAGAGAAGTCAGAGGCTTGAAGGGTGACAAGGACTCAGCAGACTTTGAAGAAGGAGGGGAACAGGGGTGACCTCTGGGAGGAAGAGTGGCTCCTGGCTGACAGCCATTGAGGGACTGAGGATCTCAGACCTCCAGCCACAAGGAAATGGATTCTGCCAAAAACCTGAATGAACATGCAAATAGATTCTTCCCCAGAACTTCCAGGTAAGAGGAAGGCCTGGCCTACACCTAGACCTCAACCTGTGAGATCCCAAGTAGGGATGTAAGCAGAGCTCGCCTGGATTCCTCCACTCAGTCTTCTACCTAGAGAACCGCCAGCTCATAAGCAGGCAGTGTGTCAAGCTGTTACATTTGTTACAAAGCAATGGAAAACACAAAGAGTGGATGTTTGAATCAAGGCCCAGCGGACTTCAAAACTTGCGCCCTTTCCTCTCATCAAGGAGGGAGGAAACCTCTCCAGCTCTGACTACTTTGAACCACATGATGCTGTCAGAGGCATTGCAACCACAGTGGTTCCATCTTGAATAGGGGCTGGGTAAAATGAGAGTGAGACCTGCTCGATGCATCCCCAGGATGTCAGGCATTCTTAATCACAGGGTGAGACAGGAGGTCACAGATACCCATCACAAAGACCCCGGGATAAAAGGGTAAAGAAGCCAGTCAAAACCCACCAAAACCAAGATGGTGACCACAGTGACCTCTGGTCTTCCTCACTGCTCATTATATGCTAATTATAATGCATTTGCATGCTAAAAGACACTCCCACCAGTGCCATGACAGTTTACAAATGCCATGCAAATGCGCAGAAGTTACCCTATATGGTCTAAAAGTGGGGGAGGGGTCCTCAGTTCCAGGAATTATCTGCCCCTTTCCCAGAAAATTCATGAATAATGTACCCCTTGTTTGGCATATGATCAAGAAATAACATGAAAATAGCCACAGCAGTGCTCAGGGCGGCTCTGCCTATGGAGTTGCCATTCTTTTGCTTCTCTACTTCTCTGGTAAACTTGCTTTCACTTTACTCTGTGGACTCACCCAGGATTCTTTTTTGTGCAAGACTCACGAACCCTCTTTTGGGATCTGGAACGGGGCCCCTTTCCAGCAACTATACCAAGCCTGGGACAAGCATTAAAAAAAAAAAA